GTCTGGGGATCTCGTCCGTTTGTCCGCGACTTGTCTGCGGACCAGCTGTCCCCTCGTGTTGTTCCCTGCGTCTTCCTTGGCTTCCCCCCTGACGCGCCTGGGTGGCAGTTTTACCACCCCACCTCGCGCCGCGTTCTGTCCTCCCAAGATGTCACCTTTAACGAGTCAGTGCCTTACTACCATCTCTTCCCCTACCGCACTGCGCCCCTCCCCCCGCCGCCGCTCTTCCTTGTGCCAGGTCCTCCCCCGGTAGACCCCCTCCCCCCTCAGGGTCCTGCCCCGTCAGCTGTGTCTCAGGTAGTCGCAGTCGCGCTTGTTGAGGTAGCTGTTGACTCTGGTGCTGCTCAAGGTGCTGTGCCTGCGGGTGCCGGGTGTGGGGGTGCGGAGCCCTTGGGTGCTGAGTCCAGAGGTGCGGAGCCTGGGGGTGCTGAGTCTGGGGGTGCTGAGCCTGGGGGTGCTGAGTCTAGGGGTGCTGAGCCTGGGGGTTCTAAGCCTGGGGGTGCGGAGCCTGAGGGTGCTGGGTCTGCTCGTGTGACCTTTCGCGGTGCTTCGTCGAGGCGGGAGCCGCTCTCTCCGCAGGAGCTGCACGAGTGGTTTGCCCGGCGCTGGAGCCGTGCTGCTAGAGCTGGAGGTACTACTGTTGCTGCTGGTCCCGGAGGTGCTCGTACTGGCAGTAGTGGAGCTGCTGGGGCTGGGGATGCTGCTCGAGGTACTGCTGGAGCTGCTGGCGGTACTAGAGCTGCCGGTCCTACTGGAGTTGGTGCTGCTGGAGCTGCTGGAGTTACTGGAGCTGAAGCTGCTGGGGGTGTTGGCGCTGGTGATTCTGCTGGCGCTGGTGCGTCTGAGGGTGCTGGAGCTGGCGCTGTTGGCGCTCGCGGTGCTGCTGATACTGGTGCTACTGCTGAGGGTACTAGTGCTGTCCCTGCTGGTTCAGGAGGCGCTGCGCGGCCGCGGCCGTACTTCGTTCCGCTACTTGAGCAGGTTCTTGGTCTCCCGCCATCTACTGGTCCTGCTCCTCCCTTAGACTGTCCACAGCCTGTCCGGTCGGAGTCACAGTTACAGCCCGCCTCCCCCCTGCCTGCTCCTTCTCCCTACACTGGTCCTACTAGAGGTCTTGCTGAGCGTCGTGAGCCTGCGTCTCGTCCTGCGTCGCCTGTTCGTGCTACTCGCACTATTCGTCGTGCTGCGTGTCCGCGTCCTCCTGCGGTCCCAGGCACACACCAAATGGCATTGCGTCCGTCCATTGCTCCTCTACGTGTCCCGTTGCCGTCTCCTCTCAAGTCCTCTCTTCCTGTCCTTGCTAACCCAGAGTCTGACTCTCTCCGTGCTGCCAGTCCTACTGTCACTCGTCTCCTGGCTACTGTTGTCACTGAACCTTCCTTTGAGTCCACTGCTGCGTCTGCCTTAGTTACTGAGCTTGTCGACTTTGCTGCTCGCTGTCGTCTAGACTACGCTGCTAGTCTCGTTGGTGAGTCTGCGTCTGTCTGTCCTCCGTCCGTCGGGGGTGAGTGTGCTCTTAGCACAGACGTCCTTGAGGACAGGCAGGAGGAGTTCCAGTGTTTTGCTGCTGCTTTGCCCCATCTCGTGTGCACACTGATTGCCCCTGAGGGAGACCCGGATGCACTTGACATCCCGACTTCTCGATCGTACGCTGAGGCGATCGAGGGTCCCTACTCCTCACAGTGGCAGTTAGCCATGGACGCAGAGATGGCTTCCTGGAAGTCCACAGGCACCTACGTCGACGAGGTTCCCCCACCTATGGCGAACATCGTCTGTGGCATGTGGATTTTCAGGGTGAAGCAGCCACCGGGTTCTCCGACTGTTTTCAAGGCGCGTTACGTGGCTCGAGGCTTCAGTCAGCGACAGGGAGTTGACTACTTTCAGACCTTCTCTCCCACCTCGAAGATGACCACTCTTTGGGTGCTGCTGCACATAGCCGCTCAGCGCGACTACGAGCTTCACTCTCTTGACTTCAGCACTGCTTTCCTACAGAGAAGCCTGCACGAGGAGATCTGGTTGCGCCGCCCTCCTGGCTTCACTGGGTTGTTTCCTCCTGGTACCCAGTGGAGCCTCCGGAGGCCAGTCTACGGTCTCCGCCAGGCGCCCCGTGAGTGGCACGACACACTAAGGACTACACTTGCGGCTCTTGGGTTTGCTCCTTCTACTACTGACTCGTCGCTCTTTCTACGCACCAACACCTCTTTGCCGCCGTTCTACAACCTCGTGTACCTGATGACCTGCACACGACCTGACCTTGCATACCCTCTTAGCATCTTGGCACGCTATGTTGCTCTTGGGAGACACCGACCAGAGCACATGGCTGCAGCGAAGAGGGTGTTGCGCTACTTGTGCAGTACGTCGGGCATGGGGCTAGTGCTTGAAGGGCGGCGTTCAGTGGTCCTCACAGGTCACACAGATGCTTTTCGGGCTGATGACCAGGCTATGCAGCGGTCGTCACAGGGTTACACCTTCAGCCTTGGTTCCAGCTCTGTTTCGTGGCGGTCTACCCGCTCGTCTTCTGTTCTCGGCTCCAGCTGTGAGGCTGAGATCTACGCGGGGGCCATGGCTGCACAGGTGCTACGCTGGCTCACCTACCTGCTGACTGACCTAGGAGAGCCGCCTCGTTCTCCTCCAGTTCTGTACGTAGACAACAAGGCCATGCTGGCCTTGTGTCGGGAGCACAGACTGGAGCACAGAACGAAGCACATTGCTCTTTGCTACTTCCTTGCTCGTGAGCTGCAGCAGCGTGGTCAGCTGCGCCTTGCTTACATGGTCTGTGAGGCCAACACTGCTGATATATTTACCAAAGCACTTCCGTCTGGTGACCATCAGCGCTTCTGTACGATGCTAGGTCTTGTGCCTACTTGGCCTTACTTGCTCACTTCTTGACCTTGCTTGTAATATGATGTTTCTATACCTGCACTTGCTTGTTTACCTTTATATATGATCTTGCATGTCAACTGGCCTTCTGGCCTTGCTCTTGTGCTCGGATTGTGTGGTGACGTTGTGATCCACCTTGAGCTTGCTTTGCTTTGCTTGACTGGTCTTTTGACCTCTTGTTCTCCCCCACTTTGCCTATGGCGGTGTGTCAAACTTATATGCTGTAGTCTGTGTAGGCTCTAGTGGGGTAGACAATATGGGGTACAACACTTCTAGGATTTCCTACTTGTACCACCTGCTTGCTAGTTCATTCACTCCTCATTTCTTCACACAGCCAACGACCTCGAAGTAAATTTCGAGAGTCGCAATGAATCGACGAACGTTACTGTCTCTCTCATTCGGACTGAACGTCTCCGGTAGCCTTGGACGTGCCGCCTCAAGATTCACTATAGCCGCTGCCGCTGCTGCTGGGTTAAGTGTCGGTGTTGCCGCTCCTGCTGGTGACGTCGCTGCTGCATTCGCAGCTGCGTTCGCTGCTGCTATGGCGGTTGCCGACTGGTTCACGAGAAGCTCCTCTATTCGCTGGAGTGCCGCTCGCGTCTCGTCCAGGCTTGTGTCTAACTCCGTAATTTTCCGTACTGAATTATCACCGTTTTCCTCCATTTGGCAATTTATAAGAAGATTTGCAACGAAAATATATGAATTTATGGCGGTGGTCATCTTACTGTGAGTCGAGTTGACCGCAGAAATAATAAGGGCTGATTTTGTAGGTCGCGTTATTCTCCCTTAGTCGAAACTCGCGTCTGATCTATGTCGTTGAGAAGAAATTCGATCCGACGCTCCAAGTTCCAACTTGTTTGGGCGAAATTCTCAGGGCCGTTGAGATTCGAATCGATCCGACGTGTTAAATTTTAGAAGAAAGAAGGGGGTTGAACTAGCAAGAATGAGGATACAAATAGCAAACCCTAGAAGGGTTGTACTCGCAATAGAGCACCCCACTACAGGCTAGAGCATAAGATAACATTCTGACACACCCCCATAGCCAAAGTGGGGTGTAATCAGCAGAGCAAGCAAGGCAGTACAAGCTCAGGGTGGATCACAATGTCACCACACATTCTGAGCACAAGTTCAAGAAGCAATATTTTAGAGTTCACAATTATAAGCAAAGCTAGTGATAGTCACAACGGGCAAGCGAGGAGGAGGAGAGAGAGTGAGAGGAGAGGAGATAGGAGGAGTCGGCTGAAGCTGCAGACACACGGGCAACAGGAGGCAGACTGGCACACCGGCTACCGGACGAAGTCCCCGGAATACAGGAGTAACAGGCCCCGCGGCTAAAGTAGCGGCAGACGAGCAACGGACCCACGGGCGGCTGGCACAGCTGGCTACGACTGGGCTACCGGACGAAGTCCCCGGAATACAGGTGCTGCTGGCGACAGGACGGCAACCTCCATACAGCTTCCCCAAACTATCCCACTGCCCCTGGCACATACCCGCTGCTACACCGCTAGCTCCACTCCACGACGGTCAAAGTTCCAACTCTTTCGCCACTGGACCTGAGGAGTGTTCAAAAACCGGTTCGAGGGGGACGTTAGAAAATAGCGCGGAACTGATTTACGTACCCGAAATCGGCGCCTTCCGTCGTCGCTCCCGCGGTTTTAAATACTAGGTTTTAGCGGTCGAAAAACTTCGTGTGCAAACAGGCTCTCATTACCAAGTGTGAGGATCTAGGATCGAGCTCAGAAAAGAGAATGTGAATTGAATTGAATTGAATGATCACGTGGGTACAACGCGAGGCTATATATAGGCTCGACACATGGCCCAAAAAGCAGGTTAACGCGAAGGTTCTGCGGGTCGCGAAGCGTCCCGAACAGATCCTTCCCGAATTTGGTAAAAGGCAATTCGGTGGCAACCGAAAAGCCAGAATTCGGTGCACGCAACCTAGCTCGGTGCTATAACTACAATAAAATATAGGAAAGCACCCAGCCTATGAAATCAAGCAATTCATGCATGCATATAAATATCCTATGCTAGAAATAGCATGATAGAGTAAATGCAAGCAAGCATAGCTGCCATAATCCGTCGTACTCTCATATCAGGGAACTGGAGACGCCAAGCGTCCGTCAGGCGGCCAAAGCAGCGCGGGGTGGCGTGCGGGCCACCGCACGGCTCACCAGTGCGGTCGCCGGTACGCAGGACGTAGGCACAAGGACCAGCAACCCCACCCCGCTGACGCGCAACGTACCACTCACGAAGCTGCTGGGGGGGCGGGGTCTCACGAGTGCGCTGCTGGTGCTGGCGGTGACCACCACCAAAGCCGCCCCGCTGCCCAGAGCCTCCGCGACCAGCTCCACCGCCGCCGTCGCTACCTCCGCCACTGCCGCCACTACCTCCTCCTCCGCTCCCACCGCCACCGCCGCCTCCGCCTCCACCGCCGCCACCGAAGCCCCCACCCCCGCCACCACTCCCACCGCCACCCCCACTCCCTTCGCCTCCTCCACCGCCACCTCCACCACCCCGCCAGCTCCTCCAGCGCCCTTGCCCCCCTTGCCCTTGCCGATGCGGCGTCTCCTGCTAGGGGCAGACGCAGCGCCGACCGACTCGGTGCCAACGAAGTCGACGGCAGCAGTAGAGGCAACAGAGGGCAAAAGCGGGGATAGGGAGCTCCCCTCAAAGAAGGGGGAACGCGGGTCACCACGAGAGGCTCCTACGGCGACTATACACTTCTCAGCTGCCAGGAGGCGCTACTCGAGGAGGTCAACGGTGAGTGTGGTGGGGCAAACAGAGAGGAAGTGGTCCCTGACCGAGCGAAGGGAGTCAGGGAGCCGTGTGACTAGGTAGTAGAGGGTGATGTACATGGGGGGGGGGGGGGGGGGGGGGGGTGGCGAGGTCAGGGAACAGGTACGGCAGCATGAGGCAGCTAAGGGCAGCAGTGGCAGGGGAAGAGTAGCGTCCAACTACAGCGTCGTACAAGGTCTTAGCACTCTTGTACTGACTAAAGTGCGCGCGCTCAGTGGACGGCAAGTGACTACGCACAGCAAGACGGGCAGCAGCATCGCGTGTGGCCCACTGTGAGCGAACAGTGCTGTCAGCATCGGCAGTAGGGGCAGGAGAGGCGTCAGACGTGAGATCGAACAGTGAGAAACCGTCTGTCCAATCGCACTGCAGGAAAACCTGCAGATCATCGACCCAGACCTCAAAGTCGACAGCCTGATCCTCAGCATCAAAGGTGAGAACGCTAGGGGTAGCCATGACAGCAGCAGCAACAGGCTAGTAGCAGTAGCAGCAGAAGCGGCGCGGCTCAGCGGTGCCCTTACCAAGGCAGGTGGGTAGAGGTCCGCAAGTGGTGGGGCAGGGCCGAGGCGCACCGGCAGGGAAAGGGCCGCAACTGGGCGGCAGAGGAGTGCCGCTCCTCTCTGCAGGGCAGGGCCGGGACGACGGCGGCGGCTCCTGCTGTCCGCAGCGGCGGCGGCTGCGGCTGTCGGCGGCTGCGGCGGCTGAGGCCCCGGTAGTGGCGACAGCGGCTGTCATGGCAGCGGCGGCGGCGGCGGCTGCTGTTGTCGGCGGCGACGGCGGCTGCTGCTGTCGGCGGCAGCTGCGGTGGCGGCTGTCACGGCAGTGGCGGCGGCGGCTCCTGCTGTCGGCAGCGGCGGCGGCCGCGGCCCCAGCAGTGGTGGCGGCAGCTGAACTGCTGGGGCGGCGACGGGGCCGCGAGGGGCCACGAAGAGGCCGCGAGGGGCCGGAAGGGGCCGCGAAGGGCCGTGAGAGGGGCCGCGAGGGGCCGCAAAGGGCGGCAAGGGAGCTGCAAAGGGGCTGCGAGGGGCCGTGAGAGGGGCCACTACGGGGCCGTAAGAGAGCGGGACGGGCCGCTAAGGGCAGGGGACGCGACGGGAGGGTAGGCACACGGGGCGCGACTCGGGCAGGGGCGAAGCGCGGGCCGGGCAGGAAAAAAAAAATCGATTTTCGGTGGGCCCTAGGAAACGTTCCCACTAGGGAACCTGCTCCATACCATGTGAAAGAACGAGGAATGAATGTACTAGGAAACAGGTGGGTACAAGTAGGAAAACCTAAAAGTGTTGTACCCCATATTATCTACCCCACTATAGCCTACACAGACTATAGCATATAAGATTGACATCGCCCGTTGCAGATCACCTCGAGAAGTAGTGGTTGTTGCCGCTCCGAGTAACCGTAGATGGTCTCGCTTATAGGATCATAGGGTACATCGAATATATCTCCCCTAGGTCCTATGGTCGAAGCTGCTGACTCCGTATCAGTTTTCAACTGAGTTGGGTTAGAAGGATTTATCTGAGGCCGATTCAGCTTCGTCTTGGCCTGTAACCTTCTCTTAAGCCTTTGCAGTTGTGTAGGCTTCACCTGTGGGCAATAGGGAGCCTTAACACCGTGTTGCGGGGAGAGAATATTAACTCCTTGGAATGCATGACCCTTTTCAACGTTCCTGAGTGGTTTGCCCAACTTCTCAGGTACCTGAATAATGTCTGAAGGCTTTTTCTTGGCCTTGAAATCTCCCCTGAATTTTATAAAGGCTTGAAAACCTTGAGAGGGAATATTCTTACTCTCGGGGGTGTTCGGCTGGAGTTTCCCGGTCGGTGCAGAGTCTTGTTTCGCGGAGCCTGCATTTGTCTCAGCGATTTCCCCTGTCGCCGACCGGTCGTGGCGTTTTAAATTCGTGCCATCGTGTCCTCCTTTTTTCGCCATCGTGGATGTCGCACTGTTGTTGCCCTGCAGCTCCGCTCGTGCCTTCTTCATTTTCCAATACGCCAAGAGTCGATGTCCTGCTGTGCCGCAAAATTCGCACTTCTCATATTTTGTCGGCCACTGCTTCGCGTCGATCTTGTCCATATCCATGGGGTCGGCGGTCGTGGGTGGTGCCGATCGCTTCGTATCTAATGATCTGTTCGGCACATGGCGTCGTGTCTCGGGTTCACATCGCATCAGCGCATCGAATCTCTCTACTGAACACACCATGTCACGGTAGTTGTTGTAGTTCGCGGCAATCACCTATTGGCGGACTTCCATCTTTAGCCCCACAGTATACGCTTTGATTTTTTCCCCTTCGGTCAGGTCGGTTATTTGGTTGAAGAGGCTCTCCATCTGCTGCGTGTACTGTGTTACACTGCCAAACTGTTTATGCCGATGAATCTGTTGCCGCGCCATGTAGCTGGAGTTGATTGGTTCAAAACGTTGAATTAAAGCTTCCCAAAACTGCGTCCATGACCCCTCACCTCGGACCTCGTTGCTATTGTAAATCCACTTGAGCGCCGGGCCTCGCAACAGTGTCGCTGCGAGCCGAATTTGCATCGCATTATATGTTGGGGTCGTACAGCCAACGGCCTCGAAGTAAATTTCGAGGGTCGCAATGAATCGACGGACGTCGGTGTCTCTTGCATTCGGATTGAACGTCTCCGGTAGCCTCGGACGTGCCGCCTCAAGATTCACTGTAGCCGCTGCCGGTGCTACTGGGTGAAGTGTCGGTGTCGCCGCTGCTGCTGCTGACGTCGCTGCTGCATTCGCCGCTGCGTTCGCTGCTGCCGTGGCGGTTGCCGACTGGTTCGCGAGAAGCTCCTCTATTCGCTGGAGTGCCGCTCGCGTCTGGTCCAAGCTGGTGTGTAACTCCGTAATTTTTCGTACGGAATTATCACTGTTTTCCTCCATTTGGCGATTTACAGGAAGATTTGCGACGAAACTAATTGAATTCTAGGCGCTGGTCATCTTACTGTAAGTAGAATCGACTGTAGAAATGACGAGCGCTGATTCTGTAGGTCGCGTAATTCTCCGTTAGTCGAATTTCGCGTCCGATCTCGGCTGTTGAGAATAAATCGATCCGACGCTTCAAATTCCAACTTTTTTGGCGAAATTCTCAGGGCTGTTGAGATTCGAATCGATCCGACGGTCGAAATTCCAACTTTTTCGCCATTGGACCTGAGGAGTGTTCGAAAACCGGTTCGAGGGGTGTCAGAACATATATATAGCTTATACTATTGTGTAGGCTGTAGTGGGGTATCCCATAGGGGGTACAACCAGTTAGGGTTTCCTATTTGTACTCACTTCATTCATAGTTTATTCATTCTCGTTCTATTCTCAACATGGTATCGAGCAGGTTCCCCCGTGGGAACTGTGCTTAGGGCCCACCACCTTTAAACTTTCTTTTCTCTGCTCGGAGCGCGCTCCGGGCCCTCGCTTTCACTTTTTTTTTCGGCCTGCCCTGTGGCCCCTAGCCACCCGCGCGCACCCGTTCAGGCCCCTAGCCGCCCACGCGCCGCCCGTCCCGGCCCCTAGCCGCCCACGCGCCGCCCGTTCAGGCCCCTAGCCGCCCGCGCGCGCCTGTTCAGGCCCCTAGCCGCCCAAGCGCCGCCCGTCCCGGCCCCTAGCCACCCACGCGCCGCCCGTTCAAGCCCTTAGCCGCCCGCGCGCGCCCGTTCCGGCCCCTAGCCACCCACGCGCCGCTCGTTCAGGCCCTTAGCCGCCCGCGCGCGCCCGTTCCGGCCCCTAGCCGCCCGCTGGCCGCCCGTCCCGGCCCCTCGACGCCCACGCGCCGCCGTCCCGGCCCCTAGCCGCCCGCTGGCCGCCCGTCCCGGCCTCTCGACACCCGCGCGCCGCCCGTCCCGGCCCCTAGCCGCCTGCTGGCCGCCCGTCCCGGCCCCTAGCCGCCCGCTGGCCGCCCGTCCCGGCCCCCTCGACGCCAGCGCGCCGCCGTCCCGGCCCCTAGCCGCCCGCTGGCCGCCCGTCCCGGCCCCTCGACGCCCGCGCGCCGCCGCCCCGGCCCCTAGCCACCCGCTGGCCGCCCATCCCGTCCTCTCGACGCCCGCGCGCCGCCCGTCCCTGCCCCTGATCGCCCGCGCGCCGTTCGTCCCAGCCCCGGGCCGCCCTGTGTCGCTGACAGCCCGAGCCGCCCGAGCCGCCCGCGCCGCCCGAGCCGCCCGAGCCGCCCGAGCCGCCCGAGCCGCCCTCGCCGCCCGAGCCGCCCGAGCCGCCCGAGCCGCCTGCACCGCCTGAGGAACCGAGCCGCTGGTCCTGCGTAGCTGCTGTTGCTGCTGAGCCGGTTGAGCTGCTGTGTTGCTGTACTGCTGTGCTACTGCGCTGCCCGACCCGTCCTGTCTGGTGAGACCTTCTACTGCTGTCATGGCTACCCCTAGTGTCCTAGCTTTTGACGCAGAGGGTCGCGCCATTGACTTTGAGGTCTGGGTCGACGACCTGCAGCTGTTCTTACAGTGCGACAGAGCAGACGGCCTTTCTCTCTTTGACCTCACTTCTGGTGCCTCTCCTGCCCCTGCTGCTGATGCTGATCCCACTGTGCGCTCTCAGTGGGCCACCCGCGATGCTGCTGCACGTCTTGCTGTGCGTCGCCACCTCCCTACCTCTGAGCGCGCGCACTTTAGTCAGTACAAGAGTGCTCAGACCTTGTACGACGCTGTAGTCGCGCGCTACTCCTCCCCTGCCACTGCTGCACCGAGCCGTCTCATGCTTCCCTACCTCTTTCCTGACCTCTCTGCCTTTCCCACTGTCGCTGACCTCATTACGCACCTCCGCACTAGTGACACTCGCTACCGCGCCGCCCTTCCTGCTGAGTTCTGCGCCAAGAACCCCCCCCCCCATGTACATCAGTCTCTACTACGTAGTCGCGCGCCTCCCTGACTCTCTTCGCGTAGTCAGGGACCACTTTCTCGCGGTCTGTCCCACCACCCTCACCGTCGACATCCTCGAGAAGGCCCTCCTCGCGGCGGAGAAGAGCATCGTCGCTGTAGGAGCTTCTCGTGGTGACCCTCGCACCCCCATCTTTGAGGGGTGCTCTCCTTCCCCCCTCCTGCCCTCTGTTGCCTCTGCTGGTGCTGCCGAC